GTGCAGACTGTCTTTAACATTCTATTCCCAGTTCAGTCACTGAAGAAAAGCCACAATGATCCCTGAGAATGAAGAAAGGAATAATAGGATTGATGGAAAAAAAATGTAATGCTTGGCTGTTGATGAATTTACCTATAAATACTTGATTAAACACTTACACAAAGGGTACAATATAATCAAAAAGGGTTTAAATATACTTTTTGAATTAAAATATACTAAAAGTCTTGACAGAGGGACAAGAAATTTTATATTTTGGCCATCTCAAGACTCATTGGTCTTCAAAAATATTGATTATTTCAAGAGACTGATATTTCCTTTATATATCAGGTTTTACTATCCTACTTTAAATTTCAATAACCTGCATTGAAATGTGACAATTTATGTTCAGCACAGTTAAATGCATTGGTGTCACAAACATATGTAATAGTCTGATTCATCAAGCTTAGTATGAACTTCTCATGAGTTGATGCTATAAATAGCTTTACTTTGAAAAACATGCTAATAGGCAATTTCTTGCTTGGCATGCTTTCAAAGGAAGTCAGGATCATATATTGAGTGAATACGGACGTATTGAATGTGGCAGTGTGTAGTTAAGTTGAGTTCGAATGGGATCACAAGTTTATCACTGTCTAAGTGCCCATTGGTTTTCATATGGAATTGTCTGCAGTGGAGGTTTACTCAGGGGTGAGAGCACTCAAAGAGCAATATGAGGAGAAAATGAGTTAAATCATTGAGATTTAATTGAATGATGTGGTGGCACTGTATCTAAGTCAACGATTAAAACTTGAAGCGTGAATATTAATCAAGTGCTAATTTTTTCTGGTATTTTGAGTTTGGTCCAATCTACTCATGGAAGCTTATGAGATGTGGCAAATCAGTAAGTCATCCAATTTTTTTGCTCTTTCTTACTCTTTAGCTAATATCTTTGACGTCCTCCCTGAATTCTAGATATGGGACTGACGTTTCAATTGGACCGCCCGTCACTTAAAAGCTGGTGCCTCAGGCCGTAGCTTGAATCACAATAAGAGGAGGAGAGAAATAAGGGGAGGAGAGGCTCTCTTTTGCTGCCACTCACAATCCACTTATGCTTTCACAAAGCACCATATCATACATGTTTAATTATTTTGGATTATGTTCATATACAGCTAATATAAAGTATTTTGTCCATGGTTACATGAGCCATCCATCCCAATTTGTGCTCAACCCCCTGTAACAGAAAGAAAGAACCATGAGAGATTTATGTGGAAGTTAAAGTGAACACAGAGCAGTGAGTGCAAGGGTAAGTGCTTCACTTTGTTACCATGGTCACCTGAAAATGCTTTCTGTAATTTTCTTTTTTTCCAGCACAGGAGAGGATAAACAGACAGGGAAGCAGAAGGAGAAGAAATATGTTGGTTAGACCTGAATTTCATTTGGTTTAATTAATGATTAGACAGATTGTGTTTGGACATATTTTACTTCACGTCTATTCAGAGGAGTGATTTTTTTATCTCACAAAAAAATACGTAGATTATGTGTGATTTACTCTCTGAATGTTTGATACTCGTCAGGGAATTTACTTTTCCTGTACAACTGTCCTTTAGGAAAAATGTCAGGCTGGGCTTACAGAAGAAACAGTGTGGGATAAAGACTCAGCCATGGCACCAGTCATAATCCACCCTTCAAAAGAGCCAGATGGAGAGGCTAAGGTTTCAGTCCAAATATTGTTCTTGGATTGAGGTGTGTGCTCACTCTCTCACTCTCGTGCTCTCTCAATCTCTCACTGTCGTTGTCTCTCTCAATCTTTCTCTCCCGAACTCTTGTACTCCGCAACTCTCTCTCAAACCCTCCTCCTGCTGTGTTTTATCAGATCCTTTCACAGGGGGGCCTCTTATAAAACCAACACAGCTCATCAGGACAGAGCTCCAGAGGACCGGTCTGGTCAAACCTTGTTAATCTAACTATGGTCCAGGTTGGGCTGAGGACTGGGCATGGTATTTATCAAGCACATCAGATTGGGAGTGCTGATTTAAAGTCAGCATTTCAAATCCTTTTAACTGAGAGTGATTCGTGATGAAAATGGGGGGTTAAAGGGGGACCTGAGCAGTGGTCCTAAATCAGCAGTCTTACCCCGAGACGCTTGATAAACATACAGCCCCGGGGGTTTGTGTCTGGGCTGGTGGGACTGTGGGGCAGAAAGGTATGTGCTTAGTGGTGATTGTGCGCCGCGGCCTCCCCTCATTCTCCGAGGCCGAACACACACAGAGCGACCTTGTGTGCAGCGGAGGGCTGGGCAGACCCGCTGAAGTCAGCTCACGCCATGCACTGCACTGTGGGCGAAAGAAGAAACGATCCTTCTGGGTTACGCATTCAAATATTCACCCAAAAAGGCCAACGTCCACCACGGTTTTCTGCGTAATTATCATTTAAAAAGAAACCCAGAAAGCTGACACACATGCACGTATTCGTACAAGTGATTCTCATAAGCATCAGCTCCGAGCCAGACTGTAGGCTTGTCCCAGACTACTGTAGAGTTGTTATGAAAACACTCATAAATCCACCCAGAGTTACATAAACCTGTCAGTGGGTTCATTACGATAATTACTTTAATTTTCTGTTGATGATTTAAGGACAAAGCAACAGGAAAAAAAGAGAGAAAATAAAACAAAGTGAAATAAGTTTTCAGAGAGGACGCCACGGCATGTTTCCTGCTGAGCGCCTGTCACCTCTCAGCTGACAGGACCCTTTGTATTTCACCACTGGCATGGCCCACAGTGTAGTGAGCCACAGATGCACCCTCGGCATGCACCAGAATACACATATGTGCACTAATGAGTGAATTCCGAACTTACAATGCACATGCATTAACACACGCATAAATGCATGGGCTAGACTAAAATCCCTTAACCCAGAACAAACAAGAGCATATTTGGACTGGCTGCTCCTTGTTTGAGTTAAGTTTACTGACTGTACTGCAGCCATTGTGGTTTTTGAGGTCGACAGACTTCCATGCTGCTTTTTCCCCCCTCTTGACCCTGCCACACTCATACCCTGCCATAAAAAGACAACTGGGCTTTAGTCCTCTGTCCCTCCACTTCGTCCCTCCAAAGCTCCATTAAAAAAAGGTAGAAACGGCTCAGACGCTCTCTGGCCAGGCCCTTACTGGCAGTGCAGTGTAATCAGAGGAAGCCTTCCGCCAAAATACACAAGCCAGTAAATTAACCCCGCTCAATGTGGATACGTCTGCACATGCAAATGGCTGTGTATTGTTCAAGCTCTCTTGTGATAAAAAGCTTTCTCTCTGTGGCTATAACACAGATGATATCACCATGTTAAAGTTGCTTTGATCACAACACCTAATCTCTCCCTTATCTGGCGCTGTCATAATTACATGAACTCCCACCGACATCCATCAACCACGCCCCACCCCCACCCTAAAAGACAACTGAATTCCTGTCAATGAGGTCATAGCACAAAAAAAAAGAGAGACAGACACAGACGCCTAAATGTGTAAGTGTACAGGTAGTCATGGTGACAGGATTTTCCAAGAATAAAAAGATTAGTTAATTATCTGTGCCCAGAAACATGTAAACAATACAACCAGATCAATACAAAATATATTTCACCGTCACAAGGGTGTGAATATGTATCGTCAAGGGAACGCCACTGTTTTATCTCCTGTAAAGGTGGATTTCCTCTTTTGAATGCATTCTGGGAAATGCCAGTCTGTTGTTCTAACTCATATTTCCGTCATCAAACTCAACATTAGCTAATTTGTTGATTTAAGAGGTATATTTAAAATACTTATTTAAATGCATCATTCAGTGTTTTTATTATTAGATTATTAGATTTTGGCATCAGGTATGAGACCCTGTCTGGAAAATACTTGATTAAAAATTACAATTACATCTGTGCCACCTCCCCAACAGTCTAATGTGCAAACAGTCACAGAGGATATTATGATTTAAACTTACATTCCTCTGAATGTATCATTAACAGGGAGAAATGTCTCGTACAACTTTCCTCCTGCATGATTTTTATCAGGTTTTAAATGAGAAACATTTCCTGAACATTATGGTTCTTTGGAAAAAAAACAAAACTGTGGGTGGATTTTAGTCATAGATATACTCAATTAAATGAGCTTATAATTACCAAATTATAGGTGTATACCACTGCACCTGGTATTTTGACATTTGACAAGATGCTATCAATGCCATGTTAATCTCTCCCAGTGGATAATTTACTTATGATTCACATATATTAAGCTGATGCGGGTTATGAAACAGATAACATTGTTTGTTACAGCAGAGTTTATTTAATATGTTTTACCCTAGGTCACCAAATTAGAGAAATAATAATGTTTAAATGAGCTCTTAATCTTGAAATGTCTATAATACAAAGTCTTAGATATGGATATGGTTTATATAGCGTGTATATTTTTTCAAAATGCCCATAGAAAGGTTAAAGAAACGCATTTGAAGTTTGTGTTAACTTTGGATATTTACTGTAGCTCGACTAATGAGAAGAATGTCGCCTACACAGTTTCAAGTTGTGGATGTGTGAAGGGGGAAAAAGGAGGGGAGGGGGTGGTCTTTTTTTGCCACTGTGAAGATGGCAGCATTCTTGGGGGGGCAATAATCCAGGGCATATATGCCAGTGCTGACAAAGGTCTGGAGTGTGTGTGTGTGTGTGTGTGTGTGTGTTGGTGGGGGGGGGGGTTGTCACTGATCCCTCAGAAGGCTAAATTTACTCAAGAGTGATGGGGACAGGTGGATTCAGCTGGGACAGAGCGGTGGGGGTGGCGGTGGCGATGGGGGGGTGTTGGAAAGAACTAAACCTGGTTTCAGTTCAGACGGAGATCGGGGGGAAAACACACAAACCCAAATCGGGGGTTTCTATTCAAAGCCAGCTGGTCTGGCTTTATCACATGAAGGACATTTATTTCAGGAAGTTTTTGTTTCTTTTTTCGTTCAACTGTCTCTTTTGTTTTCATTTCTTTATATATTTTTTTTAAATTTTAGACCTGTTTGATTGAAGCAGGCCTCAGCTGGTGCTGCAGGGTGTAACTTCCTGGGGAAGCAGAGAAACGGCACGGGTGAGTTTTTCTCTCTACACCTATATTCCCTTCCTTTTTTCCCCCCTCCTCTGAATCTCACTTTGTCAGTGGAAAACCTGTCTCCGTCAGGATTTTCAAAACGCACTCTGCACAGTGGGTCATGACATGTTTAACAGATCAAGCCATAATTTTGATATTTGAGCTGCTCAGTTTGACTGTATGAATTTATTTTGAAGTGCAGTTGACTAATTGTTTCATTATACCCTGGCTGGATTTAGTGAATGATGCCTTTGTCATGTCACCAAAAACAGAAACGGTTATCCCGTGAGGCAAAAAAATACATTTAATTGGTGTTTACTTTGACTTTTTCCTGCTCTTGACAAAGTAAAAAGACACCAGAGACACTGGAACACAGCTAAAGGAGGAGTCAGGTCCCAGCTGCCGACAGTCACCTCTGCGGAGCTCTTAGGGAATAGCGGATTGAGGATCGTACTTTTTTTTTTAAGTCTACATTTATGTCTCGGAGGAGAGACAAATGGTTTTAGTCACCTCGGTGGAACTTTATTGTGTTGTTTCTCTGCTTCTAATTCTTCACAGTCAGTTTAGGTTACTGGTACTTTCGAGGGTAATTGCTCAGAACGTCTCATTGCACAATCTGGAATTATCAGTGAGAGAAAAGAGCATGGCCTTAACATGCTGTTTGCTTTAGAAATGACTCATACCCTCAAGGTAGCTACCTTAGTGGCAAATACACACTTCAGTGGTTAAGATAAACTATGAAAAACTTTTAAAACAAATGAGAAACTTTAGTTATATCACAAAGAGGGGCTCCCTGACAATATAAAAAAATGTCTCTACTGTCGGGCAATAGTCTCAAACCAAACTGGTGGAAATTTATACTAAACCAAAGGCTTTGTTTAGGTTTAATGAGCGGTGAATAACTGTTGGATATTTTCCTCTGACATTTTATTTAAATGTATTCGTTGGATAAGATATGAGGAGAATTCCTGAATTTGATATCCTTATATTTTCATAACATGTTTCCATATGATTTTATTTCAGATAAAATGTATTTATTGCTAATTAAAATACAATTAACACTCATTAGGGAAAAATAAAACCGTTTAATTTCATCCTGTCTCATCGAATTACAAACAAAACTGTAGCAAGCAAAAATAGAGGAAAATTAATGAAATGAAAAAAGAACAGGGAGACATAAGTGTATGCACTCGTGTCAGTTACTTAATACCATGATGAGAGTTACTGTCCTCAACCCAAAGAGGCCGAACCTTGGAAACTTTGACCCAGTTTACAGGAACCGCTCTGTCCAGCACTTACACGTTTTCTGCCCCTGAATTCCACAGCTTTGATGGTCAACAGAGTTGAGGAAACACGTTGTTTTTGTTCTCTGTAGGGAAGCGAGCGCTCTTACGCAGTTGCCTCTCTGCCTTTGAAATTCACCTCATCCTGTCACTTCACCTTCACACTGCTCCATGAGTTTCATTGTGGCTGTTTCTTTATGCACCATGAACAGTGGGACCGCTTGTTGGTCTTCAGTGGAGAATGTAGACTACACCAATTTTTAGTCATAGTTCCTGACACTCGCATGTTTAATGTCCATCATGATTCAAAAGCTAAATCTTGTATCAAAGACAGAGATTTGTGGTCACTGCTTGTTTTAACTTAGTGATTCAGTGCAGATATGCTGTTTTCTGGTTTCCACTGTTTTTGTGTACATTAATAGGAAGGTTAAGATACAGGAGAGAAGTAATTTGTTGTTTTTATTCTGTAATAGCTGCTAGAAAGCATAGCAGTAGTCAGGGTAGCCGTTAGTTTCCATGGTTATGTGGTGGGCACCACTGATCCATATGCTCTTGAGTTACTGAAGATGCCCTGGTTTGCTGTAGAAATAGTGTTTCATTTTTTAAAGAAATTATAACTGAACCGAGACCTATTTCACATATGGAAGCAGTTTCTTTTGCAATGGCATGGAAAGCAAAAGTATCTTTGTTCCGCCGTAATGGCTCACAGTAAAGACACAGTCATTTTGCTCTTATTTTTCCTTTGCATTCTCTTCTATCATCTTTATTATATAATTTTGGAGGATTTCCAGCAGCAGTCTGGCCTCCTGTCTGAAAACTCTCTTTCCATCTACCCCCCTGAGCACTGTCGAGGCCAGAAAACAGTATGACGCTCCGCCGCCACTGTACAACGCCTGTGTGCCGGGGCCGCCTAAATCTACAAAACATGAGTGCTGGCGCGAGGCAGCTCTTTTGATCTGCAGCTAATCTCAGTTGCCTGCCTCCCCTCAGATCATGTCTGAATAAGAATGAGTAGAGGGGGGGTGATCCTGGAGGCACAAAGAGCTTTAGACGCTGCCGCTCATCTGCTGAGCTCTGGCGTGTAACGCGGGCCTGCGCCGATGGTCGCTAGGTCTCGCTATCAAACATAAGCGCTGGGGAACCCTCTTATAGACACACGTTATGTTCCGCTCCACTTGCTTTTCTTCACAGGGAGACGCTATCAGCTGCTTGTTGGGAGTGTGGGAGAAGTTGCACAGCCATGCTGAGTGATCTTTAATTGTCAGGGGAATTGGCTGAGGTCAACACCAGCAGAGGGGACTTCTGCTGTAATGGTTACAAAGGGAATCGGAAACAGTGATAGTCTTATGTGCTATAAGCTCACTGTAATAAAATACAGGTTGGACACCTGTCACTCAAACATACTCAGTAAAATACTGTCATCTTGTGTGGTGATGCTGTTTCTCAACCTGACCAGATCTGTGTGTAATCTGATCCCTGATCTGAAATCAGTGGGATCCACTACTGGTCAAGAATTAAAAGATATTTCAAAAAGAAACATCTTCTTTGAAATGTTGGTTATTTAAGATATGATTCATTTGAATGTTCTTTTCAGCAGCTGCAAAATAATGTGATATCGATAACATATTGTAAAATGCTCTTATTTGTATTTATACCTTCAGATATTGATCATGGATTTTGCTCAGATGCAGTTATTTAGCTCTATTGGGTTCTAATACTATCTAACTGTGTTACAGACACAGCTCTGGAACCATTTCAGGAAACACCAGGGTGCACCTCTTGAATAGAGACAAAAAAAAACTTTGTCATGGCCCCTATGTGGACAATAAAAATAAAAAAAGGAGTCCATGATATAAGATAGAAAGTGTGTGCAGTTGCCCTTGCTACAGCAGAGGGACTTTAGAGGGAGATAAGGAGAGTAGAGAAAAGTGTCAGTAGCATGGAATAAATTCAAAATAACAATATATAGTCAATCTATGTTTGCATGTGGGATAATTACTAATATTGTGCCAGGAGGGAGGCAGAGCTCCCCTGCAGGCAGCACATTTAATTACACAATGTGCTTTTTATATGTAGCAGGTGTCACACTTCATCTGCCATACATTTATGACATGGATAACATTAAAACACTTCGATGGTAAAATTTTCATCTTCATCAAGTTAATTACTCTGCAGACAAGATCAAGAGTGAATACAAATACATGTAGTCAACAGCTACTCTTCTAGATATCAAAATGCTTTTTGGATGTTTGTCTTATGCACAGGATTTGTTAACCAGTTATTACTGAACGATAAGAAATGAAAGGAGGCATCGACTGAGCTGTATCAATTATTCAGTTTCATTTATATTCCCAATAAATAATCAATCATCTTTCTTACTTAAAGTCGAAACTTAAGTTAAATCTCATCTTGACAAAAAGGTGCATGAAAAAGTTTCCAGTTATTTAATATGGCTTCACAGTGGCACGACTGTAGGTATGAGTGCACGTGTATCTGCGTGTGTGCACGTGTCTACATGTACTCATACATAGTTAAAACATGGTAGTATGACAAAGTGAAGAAGCAACAGGTCTGATCAACAGCTCACCCGTCGGCACTGTCCGTGCAGTCACAGGACCATGGGGCTTTTCCTATGATGTAACTGGAGCGTCAGGCAGAACAAAGGCAGAGCTTGTTGTTCAGCTTGTGTCTCATCCATAATGCATGCAAGGTGTACAGACAGAATAGTGTTGGTTAAACATGACACATGCAAATCACCGGTGATGTCTCTCGTTTGACTTCCCGCGGTAAGGGGCCGTTGTTCGGCCACTACGGTTTCAGTCTTGTTATTCCTGAGCTCGACTCTGCTTTGTGTGGGTCTGATCCAGGAGGGTGCTGTTCTGAAAGTTAACCATGAGGACGAGGAAGTGTGTGAAATGGTACAGTGAGTTTCAAGCTCGCCAGACCCGGTTAATGGCCAAGCCATACAGAAAAACTGTGTTATGGAAATGAACGCTCTTTATGGCTTCACTGAAAAATTAGTCAGACCATTACGGAACACAGCTGCTAATGATAAGCAGACATAGCAGAGTGCTGACCAGAGCGGTGATAAATATAATTACTGCAGTGGCTTTATGTTTATGAGATATGTGGGATCATTTAATGTCCAAACTGTGCAGATAAAAATCAGCTGATTGTGGAGGGATTTCTTTACTTTGTTTCAGCGACAGATGAACCGCCTGCAGTTTATATGCTGTCATTCCAGGACAACATTACATAGTTGGAAGCAATTTTTGTGGCGACATATTCTTTTAAACCACATAAAATTGTAATTATATATATCATATTTTTGTGAAGACAATTACCTCAAGTTGCTATAGAATATGGCTCAAATCAAAAAGTGTTTAAAACCACTGCTTTCTGTCAGTGGTAGAATTCTCAAGGTAATATTGCCTGCAAGCTAAATTTAGAAAGCAGGCTGGAACCTTCATATTTCAGCTCATTTGAGTATACAAATAAATACTTGCCTCAGAATCATGGATTTCTTTGTTTTATATATTTTGTAATATGAGGACGTATGATTTCAGTTAATTAACTGATTTTCTCACCTTTACTCCTCTAATTATATTGTACAGTGGTACAATACATGTGACTATAATTACTAATGATATTGCCCCCTGAATTTCATTATAAACCTTATTAATAAGGAGCTCCATCATCATGTGTAATATCTCGCTCTGGATGACTTAAACAAAGACCGAGCGCAGATCGACGGGGAAATATCTCTCATCTCTCCAGTGTGAGGCGGCTTCTGAGGCTGGGGAGTTTTACCTCAGAGCTGAACCCAGATGTTCGGGCTGATCGAGTCCTTTACAATGTATATCTGATCTGTTCACATGATCATAGAGTTACTGAACTATAGGTGGGTTAAATGTGTATATATAAAAGTTGCAGTACAGAGTACTACGCTGATACTTACATCACATTGCAATTTAATTGATCTGATCTGATCGATATTAAATATTGACCATATATTGCTGATATGGCATTAAATCAATGCATTTGTTTGTTTTTTATTATGACTATTTTGCAAATAGATTCCTCTGTCAAGGCTTAATTTCTCCATTTAACTCAATATGTGCCTACTCAATTCAATAATACACTGTAAAAATAAAAGGTTATTCGACAGGAATTTACAGTATTATTTACAGTTTTGTTGTTTCTCCTAAATTAAGTGTCTGTCAGTGTCATAAAAAATACTGTAAATAACTTAAGATAAAAGTTGAAATATGTTAATTTATACATTGGGAAATTATATATTTGTTTACAGGATAATTCAATTAATCAATGGTCTTAAATGTTAAATTTAATTTGATGCAAAATAGAAAGAATACACATCCCATTGCTGAATGCTTGTATTTATGTCTGTATTAAAAAAATACAGAAGAACTCAGGGTTTTTACTATAATTTGATGGTGAGTGTTTGGCAACTGTTGCAACCAGATTTTTTTTTACCAGTTTTTACCGTACATGTACATAACGGCAAAATAAACTAAAGCCATAATTTTCAACATCACATGTTCATCAACTCTCGCGCTGCCTCCTAACAATCATATTGATCTCGCCATAAGACAGACATACACACAAACACCTGCGCACACATGTGCAGGAGTAAGATCTATAGATCTCCAGCTGAGCCTGTGAGTAAAACTGGCCCGCAGGTCTTTCCGTGCCCCCTGTGAAGAATTTTGTCGTCAAATCATGTAGCATCATTCTGGTGTCAAAACACTAAATATCTCTTGGAGTCAATAGGGAACGGACGCAGGGAGAGTGACTGCGAAAAAAGTGGTAAACACCAAATAAAGATGGAATCATGCTCAGACATATCTGACGCACAACAAACACTCCATGTGTCTCGTAGTGCCTCAGTAATAGCTGGCTAATTCTCAGGAGCAGCGAGGCAGCATGCTTGACAACATCATCTATTCTGACAGGCAGATTTTGTTTTCACGTGAACATGATTGACAACAGATTGCACTAAGCCGGGGCTGTTCCTGTTTGCCCTGGAAATGTGTTTGTTTTTATCTTTTGCTTGAGAGAGACATTCCTTTCTTTCTGCCTCAAAAAAAAAAAAAAACGCACACATTTTCAGGCGAGCTGTTCTGTGTATGTGTGTGTGTGTGGGCGTGTGTGTGTGCGTGCGACACATTCTGTGAAGTGACTGCCAGGAGAGGCTTAAGAAACAATCCAAGCAAGATCAATATCAGCAAACCGCACTTATGTGTTTGAGTTAACATCCAGTCGCAGTTTCCCTCTCCTCTTTTCATGCACGGCTGATGCCAAACCTCACAAAATTGCATTTACCCAAAAGCCTAAAGTGTGTGTATACACACTGTGACATATCTGAAATTACATAATTGTTTTGGCAAACTGTTGATTTTGCTCCACCGGGCCTTGATGACACTGTCAACCCACACTTAAACACACACACACACACACACACACACACACACACACACTCACCTCAAGACATAAGGTCGGCAGAAAGGGACAATAGCTAATGAGTTAGGAAAGTTTCAGAAGGCAAGAAACTAATCATCTAGTTTGTTCTAATTAAGGAGAAAATGCTTTGGCTCAGGATAACACAAATGCCAAATCCTCCACACTCATCTTTTTTGCACACACTCACACAACTCCAAATTAACTTCAACACACTGACTTTACACAAATGTAATATCAGGCTTCGTTACTTCGAGCCATTTCTAACGTCTTTAGATTAAGCTGTAGACCCCCACTCATGAGAGCTGAACATACTGTACAGCAGGTCCCTACTTTGCATTAAATGTGGGAGCTCAGAATGAGGCTGTTAGTGCGCCTTCACTATAAGTTTATCCCTGTAGACAAGTCAGACAGTCGTTTATGAATATGCATGAGCCAGTGTTTGCCTCGTTTAATGATTTTTCACCATTAGAATGTATTCAATCCACCTCCCCCCATTTACTTCTCTGTATTTCATATGGCTATTGAGCACACGCACACAGAACTGCACATGCACAAACTACTTCCAGGTTCACTCCTAAGACGTCCTTCTTTCTTTCTCCTCCCAGGTGCCAACCAAACACAACCTCAAGCATCGTGAATGCTGAAAAAGACCTCTATACATGAACTACTGACAGCACAGTGAAGCTAGAAGACTGAGGAACACTGCCAGCAGACGAAAGGAACCTTGAATGTGGTACGTACTAACACTCATGGCACCCATAGGTGTTCATATGTCAGTGGGCGATTTAATGCAATTGCCAGTAGCACAAGGTAATACGTCTAAAAGGAGGGAATTGTTTCTATGAAGTCACATCTGTATGTTTCTTTCACGTTTCTGATATGTGAAGCCATTGATGTCTGCCATGTTGCATTCATGAACGCACTGTGTCTAACAGACTTGCACCCTATTGATTATCATGGAGGTCTGGGGGCCAGAGGAAAGGCTATTAAAGATTAAAGGGTCAGGTGATGTGAAGGTGGTATCCCGAGTCATCAGACACCAGCAGCTTCAGTTACAGGCTGTAATGTTTGCCTGTCAAGCAGATTAGCCAGCTTGATTTATTTATTAACTGATTTCATGTCCCTCCATTTCCTACCTCAAATGACTGGCGGACTGAATGGGCGGGCGGCTGCCTTCATGGCTGATGCTTCACAGGTGAACTTAAGGGGAAGGGGGAGATTGCTTTGTGTCTACCTACACTTTACACGGTCTTATGAAAGGCATTTACAATTCAGACAAGGGAAACTTGGAGGAAAATGCTCTTCAATTTATCTACATATAGAATCAAGAAGGGTTGGATCAATGCTTTCAGTTAAAAAGTGGATGATGCCAATTCAATGAAGGTAAGGATACTGGTAAAACCAAACACCACCTGCTCACTAAGGTCTTTGGCCTAAGTTAAGTGTCCTTGTCCTTGGGTCTCTTCATAAATTCAAGTTATAATTATTATCATTATTGTTAATACTGAAAGTGCAGGGGTGGATCCAGCGGCTGGGCCAGGGGTGCACTGGCCCCAGCTGAAATCTGATTGGCCCTGGAAGTGGCCCCTTGGTCAATTACTAACTATATAACTAATACATATGACAATTTGTTAAGAGTTGCTATTTTCTGAGCTTTTCATGTGTTTGAACAAAGAAGAATTTTCAAAATACAATCAATGATTAGTGGCTTTGCATAAATCTATAGAGCTAACAGAAGGAATGACCTTAATGTGCACTGTACTGAATCAGGAATCTTGCGTGGATGTCGGACATTTAATTGACTCCTCTGTGAAAAGTTAGATTAAAAAAAAATCCTAGATCTGCCACTGCACAAATGACATCCCAAAAAATGCTGAAGAACTAAAGACTTATGTTAATCAAAATCTGGGATTATATATTTTTCTTTTTTACAAAGACGGATTCATGAAAACCCAAGAATGAGGCCTGATGGTGTATCTGACTATAACAGGCTTCATTCAAGACAGCCATTAAACATTTTCTAAAACGATACATCCCCCCCGTATAATGTGAGTATAATACAACTGTGGTATTACAAGGCTTATCAGGCGATACATCTCTGTACAAAAAGCCATCACGCTGCCTGTCTGTGTCTTATCTGAAGTGGCAAACTTGCTCTTCTAATTGTTGCCTTCACACTAATAGAGTGGATGTTTTGAAATCATTTGGTTGGATGGATAAAGGCCTGGTAATTCCCCCATGCTCACTGTCTGTGTCAGCGCTTATCTATACTGTGGGAGATAGCTGGGTCCTGGAGAATGATTGGCAGCACGCATGCGGGAGGTGGAAGGTTTATAGAGACTCAGAAAAACAGGAGGCATCATTAATGCTGTACAGACATGGAGGAATTTGTTGCGGAATTGAATAGGCCTATTATCAGAGGGTTATTGAACACATAATGCAACAATAAGTCTTAAAATCTCAAAGTGAATGTGATGCATGTACAAGGTCTTTGCAGAAAATTGTGTAAAGTTTTCTCTACTTGAGGACAAGGGGATTTGACTTTGCTGTGTTTTCATTTAAAAAGGGAGGTCTTCTGTCAGGACTGATTGGGATAAAGTTGTTTTGAGGCATGCACAAAACAATAAGGGGGCGAAAAGTGGTTGTGCCAAAAACTAAAACACAACTTTTTCAGCATGGATTTAGCCTCATAGTCTAAAGTGGGCTGCAGACGTTTAACTTAAGGTGGCGTGCGTTGCTCCATTAGTTAAAGCACACATTCCCCATCCTCCTCCTCCTCCTCCTTCTCCTCCATGCGCTCCGTCTCTATGAGCAGTTAATTGTGCGTCCACTCTATCGGGACCGGCGCGATAATAACGCATTAAAGAGCCGTGCCTCTTTCATTAAAGTGGAGTTGGAAAATGTGAGACCGCCCCCTTTCCAGGAGTCAAAAATTAGAGAGAACGAAGGAGAGGGAAGGGAGAGAGAGAGAGAATCGATTATTTCGCCTAGAAGTAGAGGAGAGAGGGTTTAGGGGGGAAACGACTCGGTCAGGATTGTGTGGGAAGGAGCAGAAACAAGCTCTCCAACATCAAACCCCGACAGCCTCCAGACGTGCAGCAGCAGCGGGGCTTTACGCACAGCGCCACCACCGCCGCTCCACCGCCGCTCCTGTCCACCGGCACCGCGCAGCGCAGAGAGAAGAGGGAGGGAGGGAGAGAGAGGGGGGGGGAGTGAGAGAGAGAGAGAGCAGGCGACGCGTCCTCGCCGCCTCCTGAGCAGACACTGTCCGATCAGAGAGAGAGAGAGAGAGAGAGCGAGAGAGAGGGAGAGAGAGAGAGTTTCCTCTGACATTATAGAGAGACTCGTACCACGCACTGTAGGTTACTTTTTTTTCCCCTCCCGGCGACGTCCTCCGCTAAGTTGCGCTCCTGGATTTTAAGTGCGTCTTGGCGAAGTCCATCCTCATCCAGCAGCGGCTGCGAAAACCCTCCTGTCAATCGGCCGGAGCCAAACAACCGGCGCGGACCGGCGCTTGTTGTACCTCTCACTTCAACCCGGACACGATTTCACGCACAAACAAAGTAAGTACCGCGCAGACAGCACTTCTCCATTCACTCGCCAACATCTCCGGGACGCATCATAGACTACACGTTTATTTTTAATCTTCCAGAGGATGAAACTTATGTGGAGGAGTGTGGGGGGGGTCTATTTTTCGATGCGCGCTGCCTCCTCAACAAAGTAAAGTAACTGTGTCCATCGATTTGTTATGACCCTGATCGACTTATCCCGGTGACAACAGTGTGCTGGGCTATAATTACAGGCTGACACCAAATATCTGTTTATGGTCAATTAGAAGAGTGAAGGTCTGTTTCGTGTTTTTGATCTGGAGTGTGAGTGTCGACCTTGTGGAGCTTTCTCGTGTCCACATGCAGGCGCACAGCCCCAGAAGCTGCAGCTACTGAACAGGCTGCCCTCCGTAATATAACCTGATAAAGCATGTTCTGATCCCCTGTGCTGTGATGAAAAGTTTCACCAGTAGTTTAAAACGTAGAGTTAAAGCTATTGTGCATGTATTTATTTTTTTTTTTATTACCAAGTGATCTGACAAGAAACCTTAAAAAACTCAGATAAAGGCAATGAACAAATATAGTTCTGAAGTTTTAATATTGAAAATAATTTGCTGTGTTACAGCAAAAGAGTCAATCATGATAGCAGCCTTATATTGTGGGTTTAAAGCAACTGTAATTATTTTCCAGTAGTTTGAACGCACTATACTGAGGTACACTGATGACTATTGCCCTGCATTGATTTAAATTAAATCAGAAAAACATGCATATAGGTAACTTTCATAAATATAAATACAGAGAGTGGTGTAAATATTAATCATTTCCAAACTAGAATATAAAAGAGCACAGTTTGTCAGATTTATTTGGACGCTTATTCCTACAGTGGTAACCGTACTGTACATCAGAGTTTGGCGTGTTCAGGCTGAATTATACTTTCTTCTCTGTGACTTTAGGTCTGAGCTTGTTTAGACTTAATTCTACGACACTGAGGAGGTAGTATTTACACAGGGACTTTAGTTCAGTCTCATAAGGCTCAAAAGAACCTGTTGCAGTCAGAGGATTAATAAACACATCATAATTAACCTGTGACAACTTTCACAGGTTGCAGCTTTAGAAATAAAAAATGAGATTTATTTGTTTTGAACTCAGGAGTTGATATGAGGCCCTGTGATGAAATGTGCAGACGCACTAAGGATGGTGATAAAATGTAAAATTACTACACCGCACTTAATTTTAATTTGGACCCATTGTGGCACTGACTAGGTTGTGTGCATACAACTCATGCTCATTAAAAATGAGCATCGAAGTAAATCTCTATCATTTTATTGTGAATTTATAAACATTAATTTTATCACTTAAATAAATTCTGTCCATTTTAATGTTGAGATAGCTGCAGTTTTTAAACTTAAAACTCTTATATCCTCATCTTTTTTTATTGAGATCTAAAAGAACTATTTAGATCTAAGAGAACTAAAAGCTATTAAATTTGAAATATGGTTTATTAGTGAGGCATTTTGAAGGCACTCTGGAAAAGTACATTTTTAAGTGATAAAGTGTTGCTGTCTACTGCTGCATATCGACCTAATTTGTGACTCTGTGAAAAGCGTACTGCATACATTAAGTCATTTACTGCTTGATTGCATTTTATAGTTTTCTTTAAAAAAAATAAAGCCTTTATAAAGCTCAGGCAATATTTAAGATGCATTTTTCACATTTTAAGAGGGTGAAGTGTCCTGAGCATTGTTCCGTCACTTTTTTATAATCCATTATGCTGTTTTTACATGAGTTGTGTACTCATAAAAAAATATAAACGCATATTACTCCATTAAAAGATTTTACACATGGCCTTCCCTCTTCTACCCATCGTCAATGAAGTTGTTCTGTGTGGCCTGTCTGGCCTGTTGCTCTCTTGGGATTTAGCGTTAGGTTAATCCGCTCAGAGGAAGGTGAGCGCTCGCATGTGGACCTACGATTACACACAGAGGACTCTGTCAGCCAAGCTGTGTAATCTCAGAGACCCTGTGCAAACACGCACACACTCACATGCACAAGCACGCAAACACACATGCATAAAGACAAAAGCATGGTGTGTCCCTTTCTCCCCCTGTCTTTCTTTGTACGCACACAGTTACACACTCACACACACACACACTGCGACAACCACACTCTGGTCTGCGCTGCCTTT